TGTTGGTGTAAATATTATTTTTTTAAATAATTTTTTTTTGCCCCAAATTAACATATATGGAGCTCTACAGGTCTCTCAATACCAGGCATCCTTGACCTTAACTTTTCAAACCATTAGCAAATGGTTGCTAGTTTTATTCTCCCACTAGTAAATTCAGGACTGCTACTAGCAAAATTATTATTTTTCTCTAAAATTAATTGTAAATATGTGATAATTATTTTATGTATTATATATTAACAATATCCTAATTGTATGTATAAACCTTCTATGTCATATTTTATGTTCAAATATCAAATCTAATTTTAATTACATGTAACAGTGTTTTTATTTTAATTATTTCACAAACGTTAAGATACTTTTTATCTAAGGCAAAAGTATCTGAATCAACAAACTCAAATGTAACCTCACAGTTGACGGGTTCACACCCTACACCAAAAATGTATTTTGTTATTAAATTTTATAGTTTAAGTGCCAAAAGCTGGAAAAGCATAAGAAGGCAATAAGCCTAAAGTAACATTTATGTTAATCATGAACAAATTAAGAGGAGTCTATAAAAAATTTGCTGGTTATGTGATTTCTATTTTATTATTACCTCCAATGGACACTCACTTGGCCACAGTATTTTTAACCAAGCTGCAGCAAAACTGTGCTGTAAAGGCAAGATGGTGTGAGTCTAGCTGGCTGACCCCCCATGCTAATTGTCTTGAAAACCATCAAACAAACTGAAGCTGTGGTCTTCCTATCCCCATTTCCTGATACTTAGCCTGGGTATGCTATACATCTCAGAGAGGGGGAAAGCAAAACCAAAGTGGCACCAGAAAATGAAACAATCTCAACCTTCTGTACTCAAAATCTTGCAATATAAATGACTAACATACATGTAACATAAGTGTATTGATAATAAACAGTAATAATCTGTGAACCTTCATTCTGAAATGAGTACAACCAATTTGATTCTACTTATATTTATTTTACTAACAAAATCTGCAACACTAAGCAGCAGTTTTCTAGCATTAAGTCTGATCCCTGAATGCACACATTTACAGGTAGTTATAAAGATACACATCTGTCAATTAGTTACTTTACAGATTCCTTTATAAGAATTAATCAAAAATGTAGACACCTTCAAGTCAATGCAAAAAGAAGAACAATAAGAATATTTCACTATGATATATTACACGTCTCCAATAAAAGTATTCTATAATATATAAATTACATCAAAAAACTTTTCTTATCAATCCTTCATGAAAAGTCACAAAATTAAGTACAGTGTAGAAAAGTCAATTAAGAAAATTTACTGTGATCCACCATACTGTGGACATGATAAGCCACAACATAACCCCCTCCATCATCTGTTGCTACCAGAGACCATAGTTGTTTTGGGGTCCACACCAATATGACAGTCTGTGGCAGCCTTAGAAATCAAAGTCACCTGAATGGTGTTGGACACTGCAATGAAGCCTAATAATTTCATCTGGACTGGTTCCATATCCATGCAGTCTGCCTCTGCAGCCTCCTGCAGTGCTTAGATTGTGTCACTTCTCACTTTAACTGCCAGTTCAATTCTGTTTAAAAGGTATAGAAATGACCCAGCAATGAAACCTCAGTAATCAATCTTTAATGGAAATATCCCACACTTCCTGCCTCAACTCTTCTTACCTTAACCTTTTATGCTCATGGTAATGTTAGCTTTATCATCAACACTGTCTTAGCACTTTGTGCCCACACAACTATGTCTGGCCATAGTCTTGTGGCAGCAATCTCTAATGGAAGAGTGAGTCCACTGTCTAGATCTACACAGACCTCTCAATCTTTTGCCTCTTCTAAAACACCAAATGCAGTTTTCCTTGACTTACCACCCTTTTGCACATAATTAATGAACCTGATTACTTTGAATCTTCTCTCTCTACTGTTGATTTCCTTACATCTTTCCTTCATTATCCTTCCCAACTTGTACTTGATTATGCCACCACCACGTATACAGTTGCAGTGCCATGGGACAACTAGATAATACATGCTTCAATGTACCAACAGCAGGTGCACCAGTTGGTCTTAGCCACACCCCATCTCTTCAAGTTAGAATTTGTTGCTAACTGATTGTATACTGAACCAAGCAGAAACTTAATTCATGCTGATTCCATTCTCAACAGCATATTCTGCAATTTCTTTCAATGCTCATCGCCTTCCCATTTCAACCCCTCGCCCTGCTGCCTGAGCTACTCTTATCTCCTCTTTCATCAATTTTACCTCATCACATACCATCTCCTTCCTTCCCTTGCCATCTTGATCTGAAAACCATTTAGAAGGCTTCCATCATAATCCTTTTCAATCTTGTTGAGTTGCTCTCAGAATCTCCTTAAATTTGAGCCAACCAACTGCATTCTTCTCTGTATCTGAAGCTTTCTATTTACTGCCTGTTACCACCTCTGGATGGTGTCCTCTCACCTCAGCATCATTTGACTCTCTGTCATCATCATGTCCAACCTTACCTTAGCACTTTGAATTCCTCCACCACGGACTTCAGTGGGAGAACAAGCTTAAACAATCTTGCATAAAGCCCATTTGTGACAAATGATTAAGGTACATTAAACCAATTTCTCACCTAATGTCCTCTATGACTGTCAGTTACTGGAAATGCATACCATTATCAAATAGTTTTCACTGGTTCCTTGTGAACACACAGGATGATCTAACTTACCCTACCTTTGACCACTTATAGACTACTACTTTTCTTTGGTTTGAACTTCATCCTGATCCAACTTCTTCATACATTTCTTGGTCTCCTGTTTGGTTCTAGCTAGCACTATAATATCATCCATAAATGCTTTCAGCTGCACTCCTTCTATACCTTGACAGATCTCGATACTAGATCCACAGCCTTCACAAACAATAATGAGGAAATAGCATATGCCGTAGGGATTCCAACTTTCTAGCCTTTGCCATTCAGTTGAAAATCTCATGTTGAACCTGTCATAATATGATTTCACCATGCTCCTTACTCTCATGGAAACCCTAAAATTTTCCAGACAAATTTCAATTACAGCATGAGGCATTTGCTAAATTAAGCCATACCACATGCAGCTCATTCTTATCCTTCCAATTCCTCTGAACTGTTGACCAGATCATCATTGCATGCTCAACACATCCTGCAAATCCAGGCACCCCTGCCTTCTGAAATCGATGTATCAGTATACTCACTGTCCAACATGTAGTTTATTAACTACCTTGCAACTGTTGTGAAGATCTTCCCTTCAACATTTAGAAGTAAGATTGGTCTAAACTGTGACAGTAGCTCAGACTTCACTTCCTCCGGGATGTACATCCCATTTACCAAACACCATACTTCAGGTATCTCTTCTTTCTTCTATGCTGTTCTTAACAATTCTCACATCCCCTTCCTTAGACCTGGGCACTTCTTATACATCTTATATAATATTCTGTTAATACCAGGTGCACTCTTAGCTCTTGCTTTCCAAACTGCTGCCTTCACTTCCTCAAGCCTGATGTTACCTTCATCAAACAGCACTCTTAGTGTACTTGGCACATATCCTCCAGTCAGCTCTGGCATCAGAATATCTCATGGTGGGTCATTATATTTCTGCATAAGATGAAGCTCAATTTCTTTTCTACTTTCAACTTTCCTCCCTTGTTGGAATAACTGTCATGCAAAGCTGTATGGATTTCTAATAAACTTCTTAAACTGTATTCTCTCTCTCTTTGTCACCTACAGGTAGCTTCTTCTCTTGCTATTCCCCTGATCTCATTCAGCAACACCATTAGACTTGCCTTTCCCCCTTCAGCACAAGTTTCAAGTCACTTTTTCATCATTCTCTGCTGTCCTTTCAATCTACCCTTCCTAATTTGCCTTCTATTTGGTTATTTTGGCTTCTGTGTTTTCTCCTTCTATCCAAGCCATTCATCAGCAACACTTGCAACAAGCCCAGAGAGAACTCCCATTTCTTTGTAACAAAACCTGTCAGGCTTACCCATAGGACTGTTACAATCTAATCGTCAAATTTGCTCCAGATGTTGTCATTCATTTTTGCCCATTTTAACATTTTGCCCCTTGGGTTTGCTTGAGTACTGTATTTTGCTTCCTGACTTTGCATAACCTCTGGTGCCTGATGTTCCAGAAAACTGCACTGTTCATTAGACGTTTCTTCTTAGCCTGATGGATACTCATTCCTTGCTGTGTCTTAAAGCATTGTCCACACACACCTGTCCATATTCAGTCCAGGTCCATCTCCATTGTATCTGTCTTTATGGTTCTTCATTCTTACCTCCTCTCAGTGAACCCTGAAGGAAATTTGTTTTATTGAACTCTGTAGCTTAATGTTGGTGTCTCTATTTAGACAGGTATCACAGTTGCCTTTTTTTCAGGCTGTCAATTGATTACCCAACATTTTGCACAGGTCGATCATACTGTGGATAAGCCATAGCACAAACCCTTTATCATCAGTTGGTACCACAGAACAAAGTCATTTGGGGGCCCACAGCTTAAGTCATCTGGATGGGGTTGGGCACTATGATGAAGCATATTAATTTCATCTGGACTGGTTCCATATTCACGCAGAGCCTGCCTCCACAGCTTCCTGCAGTGTCCAGATGACAGAACTACAAGTATAACTGGGAAATTAGGTAAATGCACCAACCTTTTCAAAAGAGGACTGTAACAATAACAAACCTTAGTGATGACAGCACTACAAGCATAAATGGGAGATTAGGTAACTGCAACAACCTCTTCATAAAAAGACTTTAACAAACAAACATGAGTAATGACAGAACTACAAAATAAGTGGGAGTCTTAGCAAATGCATTCTTATAGCAACATCATTTTTTTTAATCTCAAGTTACCAGATAAGAAAAGATTAAATATACTACAGTACTGAAATAGGAAATTTGAAAATGACTTAAAATATCTATGAAAACAACCATACCTCACTAATTTCAATATAGTACTAGACATTACTAGTACTGTTAAAACTTTTTTGTACTCTTACCATAGCTTGATCCATGTGTGAATGTGGTAGCCACCAAACTGTACGATAAATATTTAGGTATTGGCTAGCTAATGCCACTGCTGATAAAATGAGAGCAAGTAGTTCAAACACTGTCTCGCCATCTGTGGGAATATCTGGAATGTTGATGTGTCGTGGCATTACCATGTGAGGTGAAGACAAACCTCCTCTATGACTTCCCAAGCCAGACCTGTTAAAGTAAAGAAATAATTTTTATTATCAAGTAAGAATGCATCACAAACAATAAAATATATTAGACTACTAAAGGATTTCAAATAAGAACAAGATGATTAAAAATTGTTAGTTAAAAAACGGGAATAGGGATCTTTAAAAAATTACTGAAACAAAATAGGTAGCTTAAAGTGAAAATGCAATAGCAAAAAAGGAAACAAACAAGCTTAAGGTTTGAGACATAATGTTGACATTATTTCCTCAAGCTACAAGTCCCTATTTTGACTTTCTTAAATATTAAAGCTTTTAGACATGGAGTCAAAATAGGGATTTGTAGCTTGTGGAAATAGTCAACACTATATATCAAACCTTTATACTACCTATCTCGTTCTGTAATTTTTGAAGATCCCTATTACCCCTTTTTATCTAAACAATTTTGAAACAGTTTAGTTTAATGAAATATGTAGTTGGTGTATGACGCTCTCTCACGAAACAATGACAGCCTTTGGATTTTCTTTTCTGCAGATTGAACAGCTATTGCTCGTGATACCATTGCTGTAATGTTATCATTGACAGTGGTACTGTATGTATGATCACTGTGATGCATGGTAATCAACATACTACATGCTATGTATATGCTTGTAAAATATATATAGCTACAATATTTATACCCTGCAGCTATATCGCTATATGGGGAGTCTGTATTCGAGGGACTATTGGATTATACTGGAATGGTGCAAGGACTGGATTTTGTAACCTCATCAGTTTTATACATGCAATGCATGTTGATTAGTATATATATATATGTCATAATATAATAGGATATGTATAAAAACAAGCATACTTAATATTACTTATAATTGTTATATTCCCCTTCCTCATCTCCACTGGTTTCCTCTTAACGTAACATTTTGCACAATCTACAAGGTCAAACACATTTTAATTAACAATAAGAATTGATTATATTAATATACCTTCCCTCCTCCATTTCTGATGGAGTTTGGGTCATGACACTTCAACAACCCTCTTCCACTGTGATGACCCTAAATTCTGATGGGTCATTGCTGCTGCATATTTTATCTGAAATTAAATATTTTATAAATAAAATATACAGCTACAAAACGTCTGTCTTACTTTCACCTAGAGTTGCCACCATTTTTGCCACTCTTTATAGTCAGCTTCAAAGATGGCTAGTCTGCATTATTTATAAAATTCACAGTCATGCAGTGTTGGCTATAATTTGTCACTTAACCATAACCATGATTTCCAAACCAATGCTTGAAACTGAGCTTGGTGCTATCTTTTAAACTACAGCTTAAAGATTCTTGTTGTGGAAGACAGCCTAGATGTTTGTACAACATTTTAGATGTTTGTGTAGTATTTTATATTTTTGTGTAACATGGCCAATATTTATCATGCAGTGGTAAAAAAACTGTAATCCTGTCAGCAGCCTCATGTCCAAAAGGGCAGGAACCTGATATATAAACAAATGATACATGACATCAATAAGTTAATAATCACTCTGGTACATGTGCCATGCCTGACATATAAACATTAAATTATATCCACAGCCTACATGCAACTATATGTGTGTATGCATATAGTAGATTATGAAGCTCCATATTAACCACAGACTACATTCAATCAACTGGGTGCCAAAAGTTATACAGCTGCTATTATTTGCTACTTAGTAATACAAACTCAAAACTACCCTCCACAATGCCCAATTATGCCTTTAGTAATACTGTCCAAGTTTTATTACAATACTCGCAGCTATTTTTTACTGTAGAATGGAGGAACAATATTAAACAATAATAAAGAAGAACAAATGGGCAATCCCTATTATGAGCCACCACCATGGTTCATGACAGTGAGAGGCATACAGCCTTAGTGTCAGTGCTATAAATGGAAACAAACACTGTTTAAATTGCTTCAATATCTACTTTATAAAGTAATTAAAACTGGGTAGAATGATCTACCCTATAAAAGATATTCACTAAGATCTTCTTGATCTGACTAAAACAGAAATAGATATATTTACAGAATACTTACATGTATAGGAAATAAGAAGAATATTTCCATGAACATGTTTTAATCAAAAATAAATTGAAAAAATTAAATAATTAGTGCATCCTAAAAATGTTTATAAAGTAATTAAAACTGGGTAGAATGATCTACCCTATAAAAGATATTCACTAAGATCTTCTTGATCTGACTAAAACAGAAATAGATATATTTACAGAATACTTAAATGTATAGGAAATAAGAAGAATATTTCCATGAACATGTTTTAATCAAAAATAAATTGAAAAAATTAAATAATTAGTGCATCCTAAAAATGTTTATAAAATAAAAATCTCAATAAAAATTTCATTCCTTCTTTGCAAAAATCATGAAAATGCAGCATGAAAATTTGAGGGAGAGAATTACTTGTGTATATTAAATAGATGAAGAAAAGAGACAATGTCCAAGTTGTAAAAAGGTTCCACTTTCTAACTCTTTTCACAGGGAGCTTCCCTGAGTGTTCATAAAAAAGCTGAGCAATTAGTGGAATTTGTTAATTGATTACATTCAACTAATCAATTGTTCTCACATGAGATGGCCAAGAAAACAATTTGAAATACTAAAATTGGGTTTTGATACCTGCAGTGGGCAGAGCACAAATAATCTATTGTGTGTAGCTTTCTGTTTTAACAAAAACAATTATGACAATATTTCAATTACTTGGATAGCTGGAATAATATAAGAATAATCAGAAACCATTATTTCCATTAGATGATTATTTTCATCTCATTAATCAACTTAATCATAATTTTGATTATTGGATAGTTGGAGTAATCAAAAACAGTAAGCAAAGTTGATCATAGTGAGAACCATCACTGCCTCATCTTCACTTAAAACTTCAATAATCTTGACTCCAGAAAAACAGACTACAAATTCTTTATTACAGAAAGACTTCTCATTTTCAATTATCCCTTGTTGTTATTACTCTAATAATTTCCAGCATTACCTATTTATTGTTTGTTAAAGATGCAGTGGTTTATCCTTATATTTTAGCTCTTCTTTATTATGTTTTCTCTTAACCTTCAATTAGTCATGTAGTAAAATGGAACATATGTGGTTGCCTGGGATCATTATGACCCAAATTATCATAAAGCTCAAACTCTTATAAGATGTTTTTTTGTCCAAACCCTTATTTGTAAGCAATAGAATAATGAAAGCCTTAGATTATAGCTTATGATATTAAATTGTATTGCAGTGGTGGGAAGTTCTTTTCTAGCCATTTGTATAAAATAAAAGCTAAAATGGCAATATGAAGATGTACAAGTAGTTAGATATCACTAAAACAAATGATTAAACAGAGAAATGCCAGAAAAGAAGAGATATAGAAAAAAAAAAACATTTTAACTATAAACTAAGAAAAACAAATAAAATCAAGGTTTTTTAAAATCACAGAAAAACAAACTGACCTTGCAAAAATTATCATTTTCCTGTACTGAAAATGTATTTCCAATAGCTACTTGCTTCTATTCACAGATATAGCTTTCTCTTTCGGTGCTGCCTTCTATATGAAACTTTTTTTTTTGCATGCCTCAAGCCTTGAGCTCCCACATTCCCAATGATCATCGTGGTTCAACTGCATCTCGCATGTAAATCATCATGCGACATCCCTCCATCAATAGGAGTGTGACACACCTCCTCACACATGTAACTCTCTCTATTCAATTCTACCAAACTATCACTTAAGAGTTTTGTCAGAAAATAGAAGCACTGGTTTTTAGTGGGGAGGAAGGGTGAGAGAAGGTAAGTAATACCTATTGGAAATACACTTTCAATATAGGAAAATTATAGCTTCCAATATGGTAAATTACCTCCACTCACAAATATAGCTAGAATCTCACACTGAATAGGTGGAGGGCCCAGTGCAAGGGAAAAACAGAGACATCCTTTAAAAGTGTCTGAAGAATACCTGAAATAGGTATACTCTACACCCAGTGTGGAAAGAGGTTTTGCAAATATGGGCAGAAAATGTGGAGAAGCACATTATAAATAAGAAAGAACACTGAATGGATAGGAATCTCAACCACCTGATATTGGAAGCTCAACACCCCTTTGAAGACAGTAATGTGGATGAGAGTAAAAAAGATGTGCACCATGGTGCAGAATGGTTAGGGTGCGATGGACCATACATGGCATGTCAACTGCATCCAAAACCCAGCCACCGGGAATTAACATCCATGTGGGTGGGGTAGGAAAGAGGATCATACCATCTTCACCTGAATTTCAGCAGATCAGAAGGAGATATCATACCCACCAATTTGTAAACAGGGCAAGTGATAGCAAAGTGATAAAATGTTTTATCGATAAGGGAACCTGACATCTGGATGATCAGAATAAGAAAGATGTCCCTGTATTGTGAAACATCCTACTCAAGACCAATCGGACCGGAATCACCCCCAGCACACTAACATCTTCGGTATATAAAAATCTTTGAGGGTAAGCAGAAGAGGAAGAACCACAGTAACCAGCATGTTCATCCACAGTGACCCACAACACTGTGGCAGTTATCATGAGTCCAACTGAGTGAGGGAACAGAGATCCGTAATACATGTATAAGGACTTATGTTGATTGGTCCAGCTCTGAATCCAAAACTCAACCCCTGAAAAATAAGAGAGATATATATACAAAAAGATAACTTATCCTATCACAATCACACTGAAGTCTGAAGAATGGCAACAGCTAGAAGACCGAAACCCAACAAGGAAGAAACAGCTATCCATATGGGGGTAGGATGAGGGATCCCAATCAAAGGAGTGAACTGCAATATTGACAGCTTATTCCAAAGATGCATCCCCTCGATAGACCTGTTCAGAGATGGAACATCAAATTGGAGAACATCTAGTCATCTGCACAAGCAGAACACCACCATCCTGCTTTCAACTGAATGGATTCATTATTGTTTGTATTGTATATCACTTTCCCATTCAGGAGGATGCCTCCATGGTCCATAACCCCAA